TCATAATGAATAAGAAAAATGATAAAAGACAGGTACTTTAGTGGTAATTGGCATTGCTGCACCATTGTGTCATTGCTTCACAGCAAGATGGAGCTGGGTTCAAATCCACCAGTGGTTTATTTTTTTCCCTCTGGGTGCCCTGGCCTTCTCTACTGAGATTGAAAGTAGTTTTCTGAAAAGTATATCCCTGTGTTTTAAAAATGACACCTTTTAATATCTTAATCTAATTTTTTATTAAAGTATTAACACTAATTAATGTAACTTGTATTATTCTCAACTATCTGTTTTGGCATTTTATTCTTTTACATTCCCATTTTGTCTCTTGCACGTACGCCACTTTGATGCACATGCTGGCTTTTGTCACAGCTGCTAACAGCAATTCTGTGTTAAATTTGTGGCTCGCAAACAAGGAACATATCAAAGTGTTCTGACATAAAGACACAGACTTGCTAAGTGCAGATTGTGATAAAAGGTTTATTGAAGATTAGGACAAATCAGGCTGCTTTTCAAAGTATTCTTGATCATTTGCACGCCTGCGCCTCTGCATTTTAGACGCATTGAATATGTTAGTAAAACACATGCTGTTTGTTTTGTGTCATGCTCTCGTTACCAGATATCTTACAAAAACATGTTGCTTTTGGCTGGCATAGCGTCACTCAGCTCTCACACTTCATTACTTCTAACCGCAGCAGCCTCTGGAGCAATAATTGACCACACACTTCTCACTTGTTACATCATCTTTTATGGAAAGTGAGTTCCAAATTAAAACGACTAAAATACGGCCCTCATATTCTTTAGCCACTACTTCCTGACATGCAAACCAACTACCCGTGCTTTTTTGCAGATTTTCCAGCGTAATTAAGCAAAAAGCATATACTATGTTCCCATAACTTCAGGATGTTTAACAATCATCTAAATCCATTTGGATAATTTGTCCTTTGCTTAAATTGGTGAACAAATCAACATTTACAGCTGAAAGCTTTCAAGCCCTTCAGTAACCACGCAAGTACAAAGCCTTGGTGTTATTATCAGTTTGAATGGTCCCTTCCGTTGCCTGCAGCCTTTCTTTGCTTCACACCCTCTGTGTACAATAACTGTCATTCTTACTCCCACAGACCATCAATCACGTCAGGCTCTTTTTGAGTTTTTCTGCATGAGAGAGTCCCGCACCTCAACATACGTTTACTTTTCTATTCGTCTCCATTTATTTTGTTAAACTGCAGGACTTTTCGCTCAAGACCAGCATATACAATTCAAACTGCTTTATAATCGACAATCTGAAAAAGTAAATCATGACGATACCAGATAAAAATTGGTCTTTTGTGGTCTTGAGACATCAGAGATTAATAAATTGTTAATGTACATTTGGACAAACTCCGAAATGTAACATTTTAACTGAAAAAAAAACTGAATAAAGTATCATTCCGTTTGATAAGCTACAGAGTACCAGAGTGAGAAAGGGAATGATTTGAGTTACATACCTCAAATATGAGGAATATCAGACCTCATTCAATCTGATGAATTCGAGAGGTGACTACACCAAGGCTGTTTCAATATCATGCTTTGTGCTGTTGCATCTTTTTAAATGGCTTGCTTTACTGGCAGTTGATTCTGTCTATTGTTGCTAGTCTTGGAGCTTCCTCCTCATGACTGAAAGTGTATGAGATCCATTTAAACCTCAGAAAAAAGTTGTCATAGGAATAAAAAGATAAAATAACATGTGGCTAAACACTAAATACACTTCTACCCTAAAAATGATGGAAGGAGCCTTTTCTTGGTCGCAAATCTAACACATGGATTTTAGTTTTAGCCTGCATCCAAAATTACTGGGTTTGTAATTTGAAACTTTAGTTTGGTTGTCACAACACTTTTTATGGAATGTAAATCAAACACTGCATTGTTCCTGCTGAGATAAGAGCTTGATAAAGGTGGGTGTTTTTCTCTAAACCTTTCAGCGAGGTTTTTGAGTTCATAATGCTTTGTCTGCCAGATGAAGACGTACTCAAATTTAATCTACACACGTGGCTTAACAACCTGATGTGGCTTTGCTTGCATCACGAGCTTCCAAACCAGACCCTAAATGGATATTTACGCCTCGCGTCTAATATGTGCAACAAGGCTGGTTATGTACTGAATCTAAACTCTAAAATATGACTGTGTGAGAATCATCGACAGTATATAAACAATCTGTTTTTAGAGCGTCGTCTGTCATGTGTACGCACAAGCCAAGAAGTGTAGCCGCTGCTGCTGTACTAACCTGCTGCTCAGCTTATAGCTTGCATTCTGTTTTCCTGCAAATGCATATTTGTCTTACTTAAATGTTTCAGATCAAACACATTTTTATATTCGACGAAGATAACCCGAGTTGATATTAAATGCAGATCTTAAAAATGATGATTTCATTAGTTAAGGGAAAAAAGCTATCCAAACCTACCTGGCCATTGTTTTTTTTTTTTTGCACCACATTCGACGGCAAGAACTGCAATCAAGTGTTTGCAATAACTAAAAATACTTTGTCTCACTCGTGTTTGCAGAAATAATCTTCAATTATTTTTTCAATAGTGAAGTATTACAGTTGTTATAGTAACAATACTAGTATATGCAACACCTCCAGTTGCATGTTTTTGGCATCTTGATGCAAATATTTACTTTGCAGAGTTACAACCAGCGATGGGAAGTTATTTGAAAATAGACGTAAGAGCAACTCAGTGCCGCTGAGTCTTTGTGTTTTACTTGCATCTATCTGAAAGAGCGAGTGTAAACACAAAAAAGGATTTTATTTTATATGCTGGAATATGCAAAAAATAGGTTTAAACGTTAAACCAATTTCTTCCAGTCAAAGACTGTAGCATATTAAATGCCATGTGCATAAAGTTAAAAGATTAAAATTAATAAAACAAGTTTTAAAAAGAGACTATTTCATTTGATCCAATTTTGACATTGAATAGAATGTATTTTTATTGTCATTACAATACATGTATTATACAATGCTATATATATATATATATAAAATTAAAAATAATCATGCAACAGTGCAACATATAAACAAGATATACCCACTAATGATGTTGTTGCTTTTTCCTACATCACTTCAAGGTATTTCAGGTTCCCCCATAAACGAACCAGACGTTTGTTTGTGGAAATGTAGGAATTTTTTCCTTTTCAGGGGCAGCAACTGCAACACAAAGGCCCACTGACCACTGGTTCCAAGATAAACACATTCAACGCACCAAGTGCCACTGATGAACAAACAGATGGCTTTAGAGCTGCAACACTACACATGCACACACAGATTCTCAAAGAGTCACGAATGTACTTCTGGTAGCTGTCATGGCTTTATTATAGTCACTGCCTTTTTAGAAGAGCAACTGAGATTCCAGTGGACAGGAGGTCCTGCCATGAACAGTGATTTTTTTAGCAGAACTTTAGGATGTAGTTACCAATTTAGGGTTAGGACTCCACTTACAGTTCTATATGCTTTATAGCAGGCTGATTTGTGGTCTCCACTAAATGCAAATCTACAAAGACGTATGCTTTTTTCTGCTCTTAGTCCAAGGGCAGACTCAACATACATTCATGTGACAAACTTTGTTAAATTTTGGATTCAACCAAGTCTCATTACGGCCTCTTCAGTCTGGAGACGAGTGTGTTTTGTTGCTTGTTCCACAGACAGCTACATTTTGCACAAAAACAATTCCAGTGATAAACATCTGCTTTTGATACAACAAATTTATTTCGCTGACACCATTCATTTAGTTTACAGTTGCAATAATGGACATAGCTACAAAAATACAACTGCTTCTTCTTCAGCACATTCTTCAATAATAATAATATAACAATAATAATAATAATAAAACAAAGAATTACCTGATTTTTGTTTCTGAGAAAAATGAGATCCACATATCAGGACGTTTGTTTTAAATTTCGATAGAAGGGTAGCAGACCCTTGTAGAGCAAAATTTAGTATTTTGGTCTAGACAACTGTTATGTTCCCCTAAAAAGGTCCAGGGATGAGGTTGAAAAAAGGAAACAGGGAGGCAAAATGGTTAAATTAAAGAGTTTTATTACTGCTTCTATTAATAACCAAACTCAAAGAGACAGAAAAGCCCCTATCACCATTTAAAGAAACAAAACTCAAGCGTTGGTCAGTAAACTGAAAATCAAGTAAAAAAGGATTAGTTACCAAACACACTCCTCTCCACCGAGTAGGAGCCAACAGTCACAAAACACAGCTCACTAGCTGCAACCACTAACATGGCTCTCTGGCACTAGAGCTCACCTTTCTCTGGCCTTAAATACTTCTAATTGCTGATGAGAGTCAGCTGTACAGAAAAAAGGTGACACGTAAGACAGGAGAGACAGCAGGACACACCCACGAAAGGGCAAACTCAGGAGGTGGCCCCACTAGGGCTGTGACAACAACTCAAAATGTGATGTCCACACATGTGGACGCCAGGTCCTAGGAGGTTAAAGGTCACACTTTTTTGCTAATACCTGGCATTCAGCCTATTCATCCTTTGTTTTCTCTTTAGCTTGGGCCACTATTAAAAGCTTTACTTTACTGCTTGTCAACACTTTAGGAATTATGATACTAATATTTTGTACTTTTTAAATCGTGTCCATTTCAAAGCCTTACTGTGTGGTTCCAGGTGCATCATGACAGGCCTGAGTGTTTTCCGCCACCTCTGGAGCTGGCTTTGCTACCCATGCTGCAACAGTTGGCTGTCATGTTGGAAAGATGGCATGCTGCTGCAGTTGGTAGTGATATTCTAGCCACAGATGTAAATGTGAGTGTGAGCGGTTGTGTGTGTCTCGGTGTTAGCCCTTTGATCGACTGTCGACCCTGCCTTTCGCCCTATGTTAGCTCAGATATACTCCAGCCCATCCACGACCCTTAAATAGATAAGTGGTTAATAAAAAGGACAGAGGGATGCATTTCAAATTACAATAATCTTTCTTAAGAAATATGAAAATAAAATCCGATATAATTGAATTAACAGATGGCAGCTACACTTATGTTTTCAGATTCACTTTTCTTCTCTCTGAATCCTCATTACTTGTATTTGTTTTAGTTGAGCAGGTGGTCTCTTCAGGGGGTTTCAAAGGCCTGCGGTATGACTGTTCATACTGCAGGCACTGTATTGTGTTATATCTGATTTGGTTGTGCTCCAGTGCCGTCTGTCCTCACCTCCTTCTGGGAGTCCTCGTTGACCCTTAGCTTTTTCTGACTTAACAGGAAAGGATCCATTTTCAGCGCGGTAATCTGTCTGTCAGTGTAAGAAGCTGGTGGCGTGTGTGTACGTGCGTATATGGAGATTACAAGAGGAACACCACTTTGCTCAACATCCCTAAGCCATCACTGGAGACAAAACTTCCCAGTCTTTAGTACCTCCTGTCTTCACACCAACAAAGGACAATACTTAGGACCACAAAGGTGTTTGCCAGGTTTTTGTGGACCCTCTTCACACTCCACTGCCTCTAAAGAACACATTCCAGTGAGGGTGTTGGGTCAGCGAAGGCGCTGAAGGACAGTCTGTGGTCCACAGGCTGCAGTAATTTGTTTATTCTGATTAGGCCCAGGAATGTCAACTATGAAGAGACACTACAAGTCATGACAGCTTCGTTTGACACTTTTGGCAATCTGTCATTGACACTAGTGAGCAAGCAAAGCGAGCCACCACTCAGCACAATGCCACTCCACTGTGTGGACAGGGAGAGTTTTAATCTCTGCAGCATCTGGTTGGGTTCTTCAAAAAAAAGGAAGATGAAAGCACGTCTGTTTATCTGCGTGATTTATCTCGTGTCTTTCTGCACCAACACATTCACTTTGCCCGGCTTACAGTACAGCATTTGTATATGAAGATTTACACTCCTGTAAAAGATCTTATCGTAAAAGGAGGCTTGTTGAAGCAAAGGAGAAATAAAAGGGAGATGTAATGAGGGCTAAATTCTGAAGCCCCTTGTTTAAACCTTTGTCTATCATCACATCATTTTTGGATGACAAAGTCCAGCCTAAACGCACATTGAAAACATTAGTGCATCACATGCGCTTTTATTTAATCTTAGCAACACAACACTGACCACATGTTACAAAAGATGTTTAAATAAATCAGCAAATCTAGAAGTTAACGAGGTAAAAGCAAAGTTATCAAAGGCACATTTTTTCCAGGGTTATTATTTTAACTTCTATGTTTTATGCTCAGCTTAAAAAAAAACACCACTGTACCTCTGGCAGAGTGAAAACTGCAAAAAAAAGAAAGAAAAGAAAAAAGCAGGAATGCTGCTTTACATGCACACCCATTAAATTCTACAATTTTAGTATGCTAATAAACATGTCAATTGTCATTTTACAAGTTCCAGATACACTTCATCTTCTTGCCGCGTGTACCTTTAGTAAATACACCACAGTAGATTCTGTTTAAGCTGGAAGTTATGAAATACATGTTCACACGGATCAGTTGGTGGAATCATTAATTTCATGCTTCATATCCAACCCAGACTCCTTCTTTTTCTCTTAAGCCGAATTGATGAGAAACAGAAACTGGCTGGATTCTGTGGCTGTGTCATGTTGATGTCTGTGGAAAATATTTTGGATGTAACTCGCCCTAATGATCTGCTCTTTGTCGAAAGTTTAGAGGTCGGAATTCGATGAAAGCTATTGGACAAAAAAAAACAACCTCTTTCACCTCAACTCGCTCGAGACGCTAGCTTAATATAAGCATTTACACCTTTGTGAATATGAACGAATTGCTTTGTGGTATTATATACTGAATGCTATGTACAGTATATATAGTGTAAATCTGTAAGAATAACTTGTAGCAAGTGTGCAAATGTGAATGTTTTTCCCTCAGAGTCGCATATGCATTGGGATTAATGTCCTTGAATGATATTTGTCTTGTTTTTTTACAGTCAGCAAAGGTAAGGTGATCACTCATATCGTGAACTTTGGCATGTGTTAGTTGCTTCTCGGCCAAAAACACAAGGCAAATACATCTCAGTCCAGAATCTAATCCAATAATAACCTCACACGGTGAACTCTAAAAATAATCACACTCTGTCAAAAACAAGTGTATAATTGCCAGCGAATAACTGCAATCGACCTTCCTAATTCTTACCAACTGTATATCACCACTGGAATTTCAAGGTCATCTTAAAAGTTTTTACAGTATCCATAATGCAGACAGGAATTCAGTATACACTGTACGAAAGATAGTTTCATGAGTACAGTTAGGATAACAAAAAATAATACTAAAAACACAATATGTAACACAACCGTGATACTGATGGCCTGTGTTCTGTTAGCAACATTTTAATTACAAATTACAAAAAAAGTCACAACGCTGTCCTGCAGTTTTAGAGTCTGCGCAGCTCTGTGGTAGCTGCTATACAAACAAAACAAAAAACGTTCAAGTCCTTGACATTATTGCAACACAGGTCCAGGAAAATAAATTGAAGTGCGACATTTTGTGTGAATATTCCCTACAAGCTCACGCATTTACAACGTCTTCCTCATTTGTAACATCAAGCTTGTGAAATCGCTTGGGAACAGAAAATCAGTTCTGGTGCGTCGCGCCTTGATCTGCGCTCCTCCTCCTCCTCGCGCCGGCTTTTTCAGCTCAGTGTCGGGAAAGGTTACGAAGCAACAGCGGCGCAGGCTGAAGAAAAGATTCACTGGGTGACTCCCCTGTCCAGCGAAAATGAGATGAGACGAGAGTAGGAAATAGGAAATGTCCCTCTAATGTGTGGAAGTTGAGTTCACAAGTTCAAAAGACTAGGAGAAGTCCAGTGGGCGGATCATCATGGTTGTTGCTCGAAGTGAGTAGCTGGGGCCCTTAAAGTAGTGCCACTTGATACCGTTCAGCTTCCCTATGTGTTGTCCTTGGTTAAAGTACATACCATTAAGGTTTGAAGGGCCACAGGCATCAAACCACCAACCTGGGAAAAAGACAAAAACATATACGTATTATTAACATATAATACAGACCAGAGAATTATTCCTGTATTGTTGCTGTAGTTATAAAGTTACTTCAACCGCAGGCTTTGTGCTTTGTAAAGGTTGAAAGGTTCCCATGGCCTCACCCGCAAAGGCTTGGCATAAGTTCAGACACCATTTCCTGCTATCTGCTGAATGTGTTGCTGTCAGTGGGTTCATCAGCATGCCAGTACCTGTTGCTGAACACTTTTGGGACCTTCTTCTATTTAAAGCAGTGCATGTATGTGCTTCAGTGGGACATCAGAGCAGTGAGAGGCATGGGAAACTTTTATTCCACCCACAAGGTGACACATTTTATAATTTCTCTGAACTATATCGGTTAGATGAAGAAGGGGCCAAAACTCAGGCACCAAACTCAGGCATGTTGAGTTTTTAAGAGGGCCTCTTTTATAGTTTTATCCAGTTTCTCAAGTACATGGGAATAGCTTTCCATTTCTTCTTAAAGGCTAAAACTGTGGACCAACTGGCAAATGTCTGCCGAGGAACTTCTACATCTTTGGTAGCCTGAATCCTATTAGTAATCTTTCAGAAGTACTTTTAATCTTTAATCATACATTTAATGTCCACCTTTTAACTCATTTATTTGAATGATACGTGATATTTTCCACTGTGACAGCGCTGGTGATTTCCATCCGAAAGAGACTGGTGTCTGTGCCAAGAAGTTAGTACCAGCAGAACACTGCAAAATGGATGTGCCTAATGTTGGCACAGCCGGTGTCAGTGGTTGCTGGGACAGCTACAGCAAAAACACAAAGAAATAAAAAACAAAACAATGATTTGTTGACACAGCCCACGGATTTTGAATCCCGTGATTTTCTGCCAATAAAAATGACAATGGAATCACTTTCAAAACTAATGATATGTAACGTTCTCAAATCTGCCAGAACGTGAGCTGTTTTGTGAAAATGCACTAGCACGAGCATCCTGCTGGTGGGAAATGAAAATCAAATTTTGCCTGTTAAAGATTTGGAAACTGCAAATCATGCTTTACTTTCCTCTCACTTCCACGGCTCTAACTTATTTTCTATGCAGGAATAACACAGTTAGACCCTTATAGCCCTGGCCTCTCTTCACCTAGGAGTGAATACAGAACTCAATATTAATTGATTATTAATTCTCCGTGTCACCTGTGCAGTGGGCGGAGAGTTACTACAAGTACATCTTTAAACTCCTTCTACTTTTTCAAAAACAAATTGGAAATAACATTAAAAGCATCTTAAAAACTTTATCTTTAAAACAAATCTGGGTAAGAGGTCTTTTTTATTTATTTAAAGCCTATCAGTGAAGCTTGCAATATTGTTATTCAGACAGTTTCTGCTCTTACTTTTAGACATTTGTTTCACAAGTATAATATCTCCTGGTTTGATCCTGGGAGAAGACACAAATTCCTTCGGGCTTGTGTCACGAAGGGCACAAATCAAACGTGCTACAGGAGCTACCTGCCCCTGTGATCCTTTGTGAATTAAGGGAAAAGCTGTACCTTTCTATCTTATTTGATGATGATATAAAATGTTGTTTATGTTATACTTTCATCCACAGAGTCTGCGCTCTTAATAATTCACTTCTTGCTTGTTTCTGTGTGTTTCACATCTATTTAATTTTGCGATTTTGAAAAACAGGAATTCATGAATTTCTGGTTTATGTCATCCTATCTGCCACTGATCAGTTCTTATATCTGAATCACTGAACACACACGGGAACACAGTCAGATATAGATGGAGGAACGGAATGTGTCAGTCACATGGTGACAAATGGCACTTCTCCCTTCTGGCGGTCCTGAATACCACAGCGCACAACAGCATGACATTTCACTGAGACCTGTCAGTAATCAGGAGCAGAGTTTTGCCCTTGTTGCTGGCACACATCACACAGATATAAGTTTCACATTGATTGCTGCTTCATCCTAGGACAAATGGCTAACCTGGCATGGAAACCAGTGCACGCCTCTTTATATTTCCACTGCTGCGTATCATTTCAGGTGCAAGTGCCAGTGGGGAAGTGAAATTGCACTTGTGGTGGTGCAATTTCACTTCCCACAAGAAATTCAGTGAAGAGAAGGTTAAAGCCGGCTATTTTCTGAGCTCGAGAATAAAAAGTATAATTAAGGAAAGGGGTTGCTTAAAGTGGCAGGAAACTCATCAAGCATCTCAGTAATTCTAACAATGCATGTCCAAAATCCCCATGTAGAGAACCTGCACTGCACCAAACAAGAGCTAGAAAACAGCTTGTCCTTCAGCACTGAAAGTGAGCATTTAGCAAGTAGGAGAGAGATATTTTCAACCCAGCACTTGGTGGAGAACAAAACAGAGCTGTGAAGACCAAGAAAGACTTAAACATACCCCCTCCCACACACACACACACACACACACACACACACACACACACACACACACACACACACACACACAGATCGCAATGAAAAAGCCAGTGTTTTAAATTTTTTTACACCTAATATATCAGGACTAAACGTACTATAAAAATAACAACTGAGACAAAATTAGTCTTTAAACTGAAAAACCTGTTTTTTTGCAACGCGTTCTGTTGAGTCTGCTTTATTTTATTGAAATTGCATTCTTTCCTCCCATAAAGCAAATGTGGACCACTTGCCATCTTTTACAGTACTTGCTGATATACTGCAGACCACACAACCGCTGCCATACACATAAACATTTAGTGTGCACATCTCGATCCTTTGGGATTAATGATTAGTGGCCTCCCGGTTTCCAGCCCACAGCTTTTTACGAACTTGTAAAATATTTGAGGATGTTTTCCTTTGAAAAACTCTCAAGCACTGCAGTTTGTTCTCATGATGAAAGATGTCCTCCTTACTCCCGATGTCTGAGTGTCATCCCTACTGTACGCTCTGGAGCTGGGTAAATATATATATTATGTGTGTCCGTACTGTATCCTCCTCTGTATTCTTAGCACGGCACGCTGTGGTTGTCCTCATAAAGGTAACAGAGACATATTTTCCCCTTGTATATTCAAGGTACTGACGTCATTTAATGTCAGACTTGTTCTTATAAATGCAGGGAGTAAATCAAATGATATACCGCATACAGTACCACTAACTCAGCACTGGGTTCAGCTCAGCCTCGAATCAGGCTACATGTTGTCATGCTTCTCATTTGCGGCTGGCCACAGGCGGGCCATGAATCAAGCAGAGTAGGGTGTTGATCATTGATCAATTCCAAGTTCCCTGTAATCCACTGCATTTAGAATGACCTAAGAGGTAATTCTGATCTTAAATTTGCATTTAGAAAATCCTTGATTGGTACCAGGTCAGGAATCCACAGCAACAGAGCTTCTACGAGGTGACATCAAGGGTCAGCGGGCTCCACTTACACAGCATGAGAAGCAGAGACGTTTTAAATCTCTCTGACACTTGGTGCCGCGCCCAGGGATTTTTATATTGTGCTTGTTTCCAACCTCAGTGTTACACATGTGGGAGTGGATGCAGAATATAGACTAATAGGTACAGATAGATCTTTAATTGGCCACATTTGCAGAACGAGGAGGTTTGTGATCACAGTGACCCGAGCTTATGACTGTGCAGTGAAGGTTGTGGTTATGGAATAGTTATAGTTCTGCATCACGCCCTCGTAAAAGTGCATTGTGTCCTGAGCGCTGCGTAAGAAAAGCGATACTTCTACCTCTTCTACGTTAACCTTTGGGGTCTTTTTGTAATTGTTGAAATTGCGGTCGTGGTAACGTTGACATTTACAAAGCAATCTGGTGAGATGGGGAATGTGACAACATTACGAAGAACAAAGTCCGACGGAGCAAGACACCCAAAATGATAACACAAGAGTTTTAAACAAACCCTTAGGGAAGCCAAACAATTTTGGTTATGAAAAAACAAACAGCTTTGATAGTGTGTGCCCAAACTGACCAGGACCGAGCTGTACACAAACATCGCAGACCCATTCAGCAATTAAAGAGTCAGTCATTTCTCCCAGGAGGGCCCAAAAATGAGCCGAGACACACGCGGAGCAAAGACCGGACTCATATTTTCCAGGTGACTTCAAATGAATATGTTTAAACTAGCAGCATTTTTGAGACATTAGTGATTTGATTATCTGATCGCTCTTCTTCCTGCGCTTGACTACATGTGTAACTACAATGTTACAACCACTGCGTGAATGCACTTACCACCAGTTAGCATGAGGGCGCATTTGCACATGCAGTTGTCATTGTCCATGTCCTTGGTACTGAAGTCTGCTCCGTGGATTACTAGACTGCTCTGTCTGCCTGCAGTCCCACTGTGGCTTTTCAGGAACAGCCTGAAAGACATCAGGAGGAAAAGGAGTGAGTCAGGACTCGAAAACATGTATGTGGGAGGAAGTGGGGGAGAGAAGTACGGCGAACATTGAAGGCAATAAAAGCACAGAGAAGACATAACGTGGTGCAGGAAACATCTCCTGAGAGATATTTATTTTTCAGTTGTGAGAGAGTACATGTGGAACACCTGGAACAACATTAAGAGCAGGGTAGAGAGAATCTAAAATAAAGAATGAAAGACGGAGTGTATGAAAGAATTACAGACGAAAGTGTGAGTGAGACAGAATGTCTGGGAATTGCATGTCAGCCTGTAGAGCCAGTGAACGCTGATTTACACCGCAACAACAGGCTAAATCATTAAATGCAGACCTGTAACAGCTACCTGCAGTAAAAGAGGAATAAATAACCTGCTTAACAAATCATTTATCCATAGCTGGACACACAGGGAACAATCTCAATACAATATTTCTTCCCTGGCTTCTTGTGTCAGGTACATAGTCCTTGGACTTCTTCTGTTCACGATGTAGGACGATACTTTTTTGTCATGAAACCAAACATGCCTGTCAATTTTCCTACCAAGTCCAGGAAGATTTTGCAGCAGGAGTGCAGTTTTCTCATGTTATCTGTGATTTATCGTGTAAGTTCTCTTGGATTGTTTGGATACTGTGCACATGCTACTATTAGTAATATTCTTTCTGCAGGTAAAGTTTATTTTTTCAAGACTGAAAATGAGAAGATGGTTCAGTACTACCAGAATGAAATAAGAACGAAGTATTTCGCCTATAAGTACACTAGATTGCGTGGCATTGTAGAGTGGTGGTTAGCACCTCCTTGCCACAGCAATAAGGCCTTTCTGTGTGGAGTTTGCATGTTCTCTCTGTGCCTGTGTGGGTTCTATCTGAGTACTCTGGCTTCTTCCCACAATCCAAAGATATGCATGGGGTTACATTGAATGGCGATTCTAAATTGGCCAGAGGTGTGAATGTCAGTCCAAATGCTTGCCTGTCTCTCTGCATTAACCCTGTGATAGACCATCCCGTACAGATTGCAGCCCACCTCTTGCCCTGCGACAGCTGGGACGGACTCCAGCACCCCTACATGATCCTGATTTGGATAAGTAGAAATAAATGGATGTGCAGATAACACTTACCTGAAAACAACATTTTAGTTGTGGAATTCTTGCACAGAATTTTTAACAATAGCTACATAAAACTAGTAACTGATAATTATCAATGTGCTTCTGAACCAATTTAGTGATTTACTTTCAGTAGTACTACGATTCGTAAACATCCATCTACTCATATGATGACTACTTTTTCTAGTTTATTCTGAATTAACTGAAAATGGCACATAAAGAAGGTATGATGCTACCTTTCTTGCTTTATCCCTGTAAACACAGCCGTAAATGTTTCTTAATTAGCTTTTTTCTCTCTTAATTACCTCGTTAAGTCTAATTTTAGCAAAGTAATAGATGTGCAAGTTTACTAAACTTCTAGTTAAGAGAAAAAAAATCAACAGAGCTTTTTCAAAACAGGCTGAGTTCACTTAGGTGCATCTATTTACTTTTTCACTAACTTTCATCTTCCCTTGCAGTGCATTAAATCCAAAGTGCATTATTTTCACTGGCGTTTAAAGCGTCTGCAATCATAAGCTTACTTAACCTTAAAAGCTTCTGTTTAAACTTATCTAAGTGTATTTTAGGGATACTTTCTCGAGGCCTCTAGAGCAGAGCTTGGTAAATATCCTTTCAATTTAAGAGACGCTATTGAAATAGCATGTTGGATCCAGCATGTTTAGGGGACTGATGAGCCATCACTAAGATGAATTCCTTCACACACTCAATGCACAGAGCACAAGCTGAAAACTAATATGAAGGTTGGAAGCAGATTTCTCCTGGGTGTGGCCCACTGTGAATTCAATCCTGGTGTGAGTGATATGTGCTGCATGGGGATATGACAATTCCTGCACCCATTGGACAGAACACGCCTTCTCTTATCCTGCCATATCGCAGATTTACTTTTTTCTCCATGGATACCTTTGTTTTTCTCACGCTCTCAGTTTCACTTTCTCCCAGCAGAAGGAATTGCACATCCAAAGATCAGGATTGCATCACCAAGCCAGTGAGGTCTCCATTATTATTATTGTTGTTATTAAGTACGGTTCACTCCCAAACAAAGTAATTGCTTGAGATTATTTTATCGACAACAGGGGAGCTTGGGCGTGTTGTGAACTTTGAGTTCACACTTTGAGTTTTCTGATGAGAAAGTAATAAATGCAAAATGCGGTAATTTATGTTTTAAGTAAACTCACCCAAAACCTTTTTGAGGCTTGTAGCTCTGAGGCATCAGGTTGTGCATCTCAAAGAACCAGACTGATAGGCTTCCCAGGAAAGAAAATCACTCAACGTGAAAGACTCCTGTATTTGGACAGCTGTGTAAACGGCCGATTTGTGCACCAGGGTAAAAAGTATGTCTGCTAGTCACAGAGGGGAATTCGCTAAGCCACTAAACCAGAAGGCACAATCCTACGACATAAGGGTGAGTCATGTTTCTAATCAGTGGCAGCAATGACCGCTGGACATGGCAAGTTTTAATAAGGGCCAGTTACAATTATGCAAGCAGTAAAGTGTCTAAATGTGCAAGTTCCTGTATGGGTGTCCAAAACTTAATCAGTGACACATTGGAGTATTATCTGGTGTCTAAAAGGCAACAGATGTTTTTGGAGATATTTTCCAGGTCAAAGTAAACTCATCCCAAAGTGCTGCCTCACTTACATGTAGAATGACTTCCATCAGCTAATTCCTGATCCCGACAAATACAGCATTCAATGTCGAGGATGTGGTCTGCTAACGCTCTGATAAAGAACAGACTGTGCTTCACATTTACTCTCTCTGTTTTCTTTAGCTCTTTACGATCTGCGTTTGCCTGATGAATCGCCAAAGCAGATCTTCAAGAAGTCTTTTCGACATGATGCTCGGAGTATTCTGTGGCTGTGCTTACCAGCTATGCTGCACATTTAAAAGACCAAAATCCCCCTAATAAGACTGACATCTGCAGTTTTTCCTGTCAGATTCCATTAAGCACGTAAATGTTAAGTGGGATAATCCAAAGAGGGGCCAAGTTATGAATACAAGAGGAACAGATGCCTTTCCCGAAGCCTGTTTAGAATTAGACAAAGAAAAAGACCTTGGCAGATATGGCATCTTCCTGTTAATGAAATGTATCAAAGGACAGACATCTGCTCAGTCAGACTGGAAACTAAAAAGGCAATACACACTAATCTGATCTGGCGTTAAAGAAACTTAGTAATGCAATTCGTCAAGGTACATTAGTGAAAAAATAATTTTGGAATTATTTGGTTGTCTTAGTGACAGGAAAGGAGTTACGTGTCATCTCAGGTCTCTAACATCCACTGGAAATGCTGGTTGTTTCTGATGCTCTAAAGTTACAGTGTGTAAAATGCTGCTAGATGTCAATAGATTGCAGATTGCAGTCAACTGAGTTTTGCTTTATTACTCCTCCTAATTGAAGTGCATAATCGTAGCTATGGTAACAACTTTGGCTGCCATTCATCTGTAGTGAGTGTAGGCTGTTAGTTCACTACTTACCTCAGCAATGTGTTGTGTGTCCTGTCTATTTACTCTACAGCGTGTGGCTGTAAAATCTTCTCACTCGTAACCAATGACAGCAACACTGAGGTGAATATTGAGCTGTTGAGGAATCCTGTCAGTAAGTGCTGCTGTTAACCTCTGTTAGCCAGCGTAATAAAACTTTCTTTGAAGTGGATCAAACATAGTTCGACTTGGTAACTTAGCAAATAAAGCCTTACATAATGTGAGAATGTATTTAAAATGTTTATCTGGGGGAAAATGTTACTTTTAGGACACTTAAGCGTAATATTAGCTGGCATAATGTTTGCTTATAACCAACTGTTGTTGGAGACGGGAGGGTCGTACACAAAATCCTGTGTTATCTGCTGACAATAAGTAATTCAACATCCTGACAATATCAGGAATAAGTAAACATGTTTTGTGCATATTTTCATGTTTTAGAGCCCTGACTTTAGAAGAAGAGGCTGAAGTTGAAAGAGTGGAAGAGGATGACATTTTTTCCAGATGCTGGTCATGTTTCCTATGCGCTCTCACGCCTTTGGTAAAGGAGACCCCTTCTCAGATCATAAATGAACTTTCATATCTTGAGTCTGAAGGTGCCAACATGAAGTTCTGCTAAATAACTGCTCATCGATAACATTAACCAGCTGGCCTAAGCTTAGTTTGAGATGCTGTAAAATGAGGAAAAGCTAGGCCTACTATAAATATGCTCGTAATGTGATTACTCCAGGTCAAATCGACTTTTTTATCTTAAAAAAGAACAAAGAAAAACTGAAAGAGATGTGAAAACAGAAACTGTAATAAGAGTTTCTGAAAAAGACAGAAATATCCAAGTTCGGTGTCACAAGAAAGTTGTATTATATTAGGAAAGACACCTCAAGGAACAAATAAACCTGAATAAGGAAACACAACTTAAGTAAACTGAGTTTTTATAAGTGTTATTTGGCTGAGCTGAACCCTTAAACCCTTAGATACAGATTCGGTTTCAGTCATAATGAGTCGACGCTCTAGAGTATTACAGCTGCAAACTGTGTACGTGGGAAATCATTTGTAGCACTGTAAGGTGAGCTATCCGATGACACTAATATGTTTATCTGAGACTACTTCCAAGTGAAACTAGGTTACAGTGATTGACATTTTATCAGACTGTAACCTAAAACACAGTCATTAACATTATTAAGAAGAACAATTAAGGCCGTGCACGTTTTAGTTTTTTTTTTTCAAGTTTAGGCTAAAATTTAGCACAAAGGCTGCATTAATTAACACAAACTCAACTTTATATGTGTAGAAATCTGTTTCATTTAAAGTAGTAAAGTGTTCATGAATGACCCCTTAAAGCTGTTTTTTCCCAGACTTAGCGGATTACAGCTGAGTAAGTGGGATTCATGTGGG